TTTAGGAATATTTTAGGACTTTAACCTTTGCATTAATTCATACATAAGATGAGGAACATAATGTAAGATATAAAAGCATGGAATAAGGACCCCGCCATGGCCAGGGTCACACTAGGTTTTGCCTCAGTGACCAGCAACTTCCAGAATTTTGTGACCTACAGTGACAAGGATATTCTCACTGGTGTTGTAAGTTCTGTGGTTCAGCTGGGACCTACTCCAAGTGTTCCCTCCACCCATATCACTGCAGTGGACAGCCCTATTTATCTTCTACCTGGGAGAGATGGCCCAATCAGAAGACAGTCCAATGCCTCTGATCAGGGGTGGCTTGAGTCATAGCCACTTGTACTCCATTGACCAGAGCAAATCACATGGCCACTCCTGAAACAGGAAGTGGAAACAGTCCCCCACATGATAGAACCAGGGAAAGATCCTGTATATATGAGGATCCAGCAGAGAGGTACACTGAACAGTCAGAGCTCATTCAGCCATCCCCAGAAACCCTACGCTCTACCTAGTAGGCTCAGAGCTCACTGAGATGGAGCAAGCCAGCTTGCAAACATACGGACACCTCACCTTGCACTTCCTTTCAGCCCCTACAAGCCTTATGTACAATCCCTTGGCCTCCAAAAAGCCATCAGTCTTCTTGGCCATCCTTTGTCCTTGGTGCCTGAGGTAAAAAAGGGTGTGAGGAAGGTAAGTGAAATATGGCCAAGAGATAAGTTCTGAAAGACTACTTTTAGGAATCTGCAGAGAGTCACCGTCAGCCACCTTGTGCCTGTCTCCGAGATCACTCGAGCAGAGCCACTTTTGTTCTCAGCTGGCCTCATGGAGCTCAAGAATCAGATTGAGAATTGCCAGAGCAGACTTTGAAGAAAACCCTGGACTGCTTTAAGAGCAAGAAAGGACCTGGCACACGGCCAACCTGAAGGGTCCCGTGTAGTGCAGGTGTTCGTGTGACCACAGTCACAAGGTCCAGAGGAGGATAGCTAAGCATCACTGGTTTTATTTTCAATTACACTTTTGGAGCTCAGTGAACCCCAAGTAGATTCTTGTCAAGCATTTTTCCCACTTAATATTTAAACCTGTGTACACTTAAAGTGAAATTTAATCCAGGTATTTGGAGTCCATAGAGAAAGAGGGAGATCATCAAAAAACTGGTGTGTCAGAGATACTGGCAGTATAAAAAAGCTTTTACAGCAACTTTTCTTACAAACAGGAAGTTATGTTTTGTCAGGGCATAAAAGTCAGATCCTCCACTTCTAATTTTAGTCTGGAAAAGTGAAATTACAATTTGATTTGGGTTTCATTCCATCCATCGTGCTTAACCAGCTTTTGAAAGTATATGCTGTGGGGTGACTTGAGACTCGAGAGAAAGTCATCTTTGGGAGCCAAGGCCTCTCCACTCTTTCCTGTAAGCGAAAGGAAAATATTTTCTGCTTTGTTCTTCTACTGCAAAACACAGAATGAAGAATTTTCAGGATGAGCCAATTGAAAGCTCACAAAATTTGACTCAGTGGAAGTCTAAGATGTTAGAAGATCCCTATGCTGTACTTACTAGGAAGGGGGAAAAGTCTTCCCTAAACCAGCTATTTTTTCTTACAAAGGCATTTATGTGATAGGCAACATTTTTGAGGCTTAGGAAAAAGAGGTTCAGTGTAAATCCAAGTTAGCTAGTAAGAGTGACACCTGAAAATCCATCGTAGGAACTAAAGACTTTAGCTGATTATTCACTGGAATAGCTTATACTGTTACAATATATATATTTAACAAGTTATAAATATCATCCTACTTACACATTTAGCATAAATTTGATCATATGTAATATACCTATTCTAGAACACATAATATTTAAATAATATTTATATATGGATATTGCAGTTGTGGTCAGATTCTCCATGTGCTCCTGCTTTGAAAATATCATAGCTATCCTTGGGCCACTGGTTGGGTGGCACTCATCTGTACAGACAGGACAGTTGAATATCCCTGACGATGGTGAGTAGATGTTGCCGAGCCTGTGTGCAGAAGTACTATTTCAGGGAGCTAAGGGGAAGGGAGGGCACAAAGGTCTTCTCCAAAGTGCCAAAGCTGCGCATCCCCACACAGCGGTCTCAGGTATGTCCCAAGCAGGAGCAAGGATGTCCCCTGGGTTTGCATTAAGCCATGGATCTTTGGGCTCCACGCTGGCCTGCTGCTTGAGAGATGCCACCTTCCAGAGTCACTCTGCTGCGGCTGAGTCTGGAGAGCTTCTTCAGGGTAGGCATAGGCATGGGTGCCACACCTTCAGAGCAGGGAACCTCTCTTGCCCTCTGTGCCTCAGTGACCTCCTCACTCAGCAGGCTGATGATGGTGCCACCTCACAGTGAGGGTACACGGAGTTCACACATGGGAAGCAGTTAGCTAGCACAGTGCTGTGCTACCTACTTATGATGATTCATTACTGTTATCACCCATCTGAGTCTTTATTATATAATTACCTTCTGCATCTTCCCCCATTGGACCGCTGCTGGCTCTGTTCTGACCCTGTTTCTGCATGTCCTTCACTGCTGTGTTCCTTCTAGGTGGTGTCTTGCTCTCTGGCCACTTGCAGGGCTATTTCTTCCTGGCAGCTGGTCTGTTTTTACAAGATTTTCTCTTTTGGGCAGGAGTTAGTGGGACTCCTTTCCATGCCCAGCACCGCTGTTTCATCCCCACCACAGGAAGTGCAGCTCTTCCAGGACGCTCCACTTAGCGAAGGACCTTTCCCCTGTGCCTCCTCTGGGCTCCATTTCAGAAATGTGCTTGTCTCCCTTATCTCAAAAAGACAAATGTCACATCACATAAGCATGAAAAATCAACAGAAGGCAACACAATCACTCCATGACACCAAGCCTGCGGATTTTAATGCTTTAGAGTAGCAAGGGGCAAAGCTGATCTCTGCAATAGTTTCAAGGACTTCAATAAAGATATCACCATTCTGAGAATGACCATCCCCACCCACAAGCTGAAACAACAGAACGAAAAGTGCAGAAATGAATACTATTTCCAGAGATGAAAGAAAACTGCGTGGGTTTCATACGAAACATAACTTACCTAGAGAAATAAGAGAGAATTAGAAGAGGAAATCCTTTCATCCTCCAGCCCATGATGCATGTTTGGGAAATTGCATTTGTCTCTTAACATTGTAGAAGTTAAACCAGGTGGATTTGCTGAATCACTTAGAGGGAGAAAAGCTGAGACAATAGCATAAAATTATATGAAATAAGTAGATCAACAAAGAAGTAAATTTCTTTTTTCAAAAACCAGTATCACTTGTGTTTTATGTATGCATGTATGTATGTGTGTATGCATGTATTTATTTATTTATTGCAGGAAAATAAGGTGCTTTTTATTTTTTAAAGAATACAATATAATGATAGAAAAGAAACAGCATTAGAAATGATAGAAAATTTCACTAAACATAGCAATAGGAAGGCAACAGTGATTGCTGTATTACATGATGTTATCTTCAGATTAGTTGTTTAGCTTACCACATACAATTATACAAGATGGTTTAAAGAACAAAACACTCCAGGCCTGCCCTGCCTGCCTGGTGGCAATGGAGACTGGGCGTGGTGGTGCGCGCCTGTAACCCCAGCTCTTGGGAGGCTGTAAACAGGTGGATCACTAGAAGTCTGATCAAGTAGTAAGACCGCAAACACCCTGGAGACCCTTCCCTAAAAAGATACAAAACAAAAACAAAAATAAAAAGTTGTAAGCTTCTTGAAAGCAGGGTGCTGAGGAATGTAACCTTGTAAATTAAGAGATCTGTAAAAACTGTGAGGCAAGATGGTAAAACTGATAGATACAAAGGAGAGTATGGGTCTTAATAGAGAAAAGAAGAAGAGACTGTGTGCCAAATAGGCCATGGCTTTTAGGAAGCGGCCCAATCTGAGAATTGGCAGTACACTAACTATAAAACAGTTTTGATTCTAAATAAGTAATGAACCAGGAAATAAGTATAAACTTATTTTACTAAGTATATGTATACCTGGCTTTGTGACACAGATGAAAAAGTGGGGAATGGACAGAGAGACAGAGAGATAGGTGATAGATGATAGATGATAGATGATAGACAGGTAGATAGAACAGATGATAGGAAGATAGAAGATATATGAATAAATAGGTTCTTGACTAATAATGGATGATAATCATTAGCTAAGAGTAGATTAAAGCCAATAGAAAATAATCATAAATGGATGATAGGTAACGAGTTGGTAGGTGAGAGGTAATTTATTGATACATATTCTATACAGAAACAGGCACATGATAGATAGGCAGACAGACAGATAGACATACAGACAGATATATAGAAGAAGAATTTCAGAAAAATAGGGTACAAAGAACCTCTTGAATTTAGAATGGATTGTAAAAGAGGCGTGGAATATCGAGGGGATCTGTGCACTTTGACAAGACCCCTGCCTGACTCCCAAAGCTGGTGGGTCCCCTTCCTTCTGTGGGCACCCCACCCTGTGACCAAGCACACTCCCTGACAGAGCTAGGCTTCAACCCGCTCCTCTGTGAGGTGTGTGTCAGATGGGATGAATCTGACAGTCTTTTCCTCTCCCATGCAGGGTGACTGCAATGAGTCAACAGTAGTAATGCATTTCCACAGGCGGTAAAACTATTCTAGACTCTTCCCTCTCAGCGCTCACTGTTTACTTCCTCTGCATTTCCCCTTCCTGCCTCCCTGCGCTGCTGCTGCTCCTCCACTCCCTGGACCTGGTTGGGGGTGGGTTAACCCTGTCTTACCAGCTGGTTCGCCAATGAGCTCTCTCCAGGCCTAGGGGCTCTGGAGCCAGGGCCCTGGTGTGGCTTCACTTTAATTCTTGGAACTTTCTTTGAGTTTTTACCCTGGTCTGGGCATGGTGCCAGATGACTGACCAGGGCGTGAGGTAAATGCCACAGCCAGAGCCCTGAGGGAGTCCTTAGGGGCCAGTGTCTCTGGATGCAGTGAGTAATCACCTGTGAACACTCTCTTTCAGGCACTGGCAGAGTCCCATGGTAGCCAGGTGGGTGAAGGGGACGAGGACCTGCCACCTGTCCTGAAGAAGACTCCTGACCTGCTGAGGGAGTGAGTGACCAGGTAGTAACCCCTTCTGAGGGTGGAGGGAAGCAGAGGGAGGGAAGCAGGGAGAGGGGACAACGGTCCCACGGACTGATGACCACCAGGTCTCTTTTCCATGCAAGATGCTGTGCACAACACATACGAGGCCAGACGTCTTCTGTGGCCACAAGGCCTGGCAAGAGGCATTATTGATTCCCTGGTCCCAGCACTGGGTGTGTAGGCCAGAGCCCAGGCACTCTCAGCAGAGGGAGGATGTGGTATCCAGCTCATCCCAAACCTGGCTCTCTACCCCACTGAAAGAGAGGTTGAAACAGAGACTGTGGTACCAGTGCCACCTTCCCAGAAACAAGGCCAAGTTTCCCAGAAGCTGGCAGAAGTCTGGCCTGCCCACTGGAGCCTATGGGTCACTCCTGTTCCAAAACTTAAGCCTCTGTTTTTATTTCAGTGGATTGGACGGTGTGGACTTTCCCAGCAGTTTCTTTGAAAAACAAAAGCAAGCTCATGTAGTTACTTGTAAGCTGCTCTGGCCTGAGCAGAGCTCATGTTACCGGCTGGTCTGTGCCTTTGGGCACGTCGATAGCGGATAGCGTGTCCTTTCTAGAGCTTCCTTGTGCTGGTTTTCCCCCTAGTCCTACTGAGAAGTGTCCCTGAGGGTCCAATGCGGAAGGCAGCTGCTCACAAGTGATACTCTCTACTTTCTCTCTAGAGGGATCTCAAGAAAAGTGGAATAGGCCTCAACTTGTAAAAGAAATTCTGAATCATGATGGCTCTTCTTTGCCAGGCAAATGTGGCAAAAGTGACTTTCCCAGAAAAAAAAAAGTCACTGCAAGGGGGCATTATTGAATGACGCAGCTTTTGTAAGGTAACAGGAAAATCTGAATGCCCAGGGGCCCTCTGCTTCCTGAGCAGGTGCTGGCCCCCAAAGGGCATGGTTCCCACGTATGTGCCTGGTGGATTAGGGTCAAAGTTTTTATTGAGATAATGCCTCTTTTTCAGAGAAGATTACAGCCTGAATCATAAACAACTGTATATTAGTTCCTTTTAAAAGCAGAGACACTCTGTCTTCCTAGTCATTAAAATTTCTATGAAGGGAGAAAAATCATGCCAACTAGGTAAAGTTACCCTGTAATCATTCCCATTACTTTTTCAAGGAATGCAGGGGTGGTTGAGCTCAGTCGGTAACCAGGTACTATAAGACACCATGGGCCCCACAGCCAGCTTTCTCATAGCTGCTGACCAAGGCTGAGAGTTTTTGGGCTCCACGTGCTGCTTGGTAGGTCTCTCTGCTATGGTGGTAGATGCCTGCACTAGTTTCCTTCTTCATTTGCTCTTAAATTCCTCATCCTGGAGTATGGCATAGAAAAAGCATGGCAAAATTCTTGTGCCGTAGTTAAATGTCATGACTAAAATGATATTGGTTACACTTTTCTAAGAATAACCAGCATTATCCATTAAGCCATTTAAAAAGCTTAATCACTTGCTGTATTTTTTTGTTTGTTTGTTTGATCATTAAGTCACTAGGGACTAAAAGAGATTGTAGATTCTAAGGTATTCATTGGATGCAGGGATGGTTAATTGTTACAAATAATGTCATGCCAATGGCTAGTTTTGTTTTGTTTTTGTTTTTGTTTTTGTTTTTGGCAGTACTGGGGATTGAACTCAGGACCTTGCACTTGCCAGGCAAGTGCCTATTCTACTGAGCTATAAAAATGTGTTGATATTGCTTAAATTTGTAAAGCTTGTACCAATATCCTCCTTTGCTATATCAAAAACCATATTATGAGTAATAAATTTTACTTATATTAATACTAGATCTTTGCTCAGCCAAACAATGTTGAAATTTTCTATAATGGGGAATCATGATAACTGAAAATATTGATATAAGTGAATATTGATCATAGTCTAAGATACAGTGTGCTATCTCACAGAGAAATATAACATCATCTTTCGAGTAGGAGGCTCTGGCGAGGTATTTCATCTCATTTAATCATTGCAAAACCCTGACAAGTGGGATTTATTGCCTTCTTAAAGATTAAGGAGCTGAGGTCCAGAGAGGGTAAATAACTTGCCGTAGGTCGCATAGCTGATAAACTGCAGACTCAACTTACAGGCCAGGTTTACCTTTCTCCAGGTCTGTGTTCCTTGCTCTGTCCTGCTGGCTGCCTCAGTTCTGTATCAGTTAGTCTGACCTTCACCATTCTCCTTTCTCGCTCAGTTCATATTCATGACTCCTGCATCTTGGGATTTAACCAATCACGGACTGAAAATATCGGGGATATGTTCCATCTATACTGAACATGTACTATGGTGGTAGATGCCTGCACTAGTTTTCTTCTTCATTTGCCATGACATCTTGTCACTATTTCCTAAACAAAACAGAGTAACAACTATTACACAGCCTTTACATGGCCTTGAGCATGTGATTTAAATTTTGGGAGGGTATGTGCAGGTTATATACAAATAACTATATAATTTTTATGTAAGGAACTTGACCATCTATGGATTTTGCTATCCCCAAGAGGGCCTGGGATCAGTCACCTTCCAAATCCATGAGATGACTGTACTTTCATGCTCATTCTACTTGATCCTTCTCTTTCTGCTTCCTGGAACACCACCACATGAGCCTGTAGTGGAACATATTTCTTTGTCATTTCCTAGGTGTGTCCCAAGAACTGGGTGATGGACACCAATCACATGAGCATGACCAGGCCTTCCCTGGTGAAACACACTGCTGGGCCTGGCCTCAAGACCCACAGGCCCCGAGTCATGTCCAAGAGTGGACACAGCAATGTGAGAATCGACAAGGTGGACGGCATTTACTTGCTGTACCTGCAAGACCTATGGACCACAGTCATCGACATGAAGTGGAGATATAAGCTCACCCTCTTTGCCGCCACTTTCGTAATGACCTGGTTCCTTTTTGGGGTGATCTACTATGCCATTGCCTTTATTCATGGAGATTTAGAGCCCAGTGAGGCCATTTCTAATCACACTCCCTGCATCATGAAAGTGGACTCTCTGACGGGAGCCTTTCTCTTTTCCCTGGAATCCCAGACGACCATCGGCTATGGCGTGCGTTCCATCACGGAGGAATGCCCTCATGCCATTTTCCTCCTGGTGGCCCAACTGGTCATCACGACCTTAATTGAAATCTTCATCACGGGTACCTTCCTGGCTAAAATTGCAAGACCCAAAAAGCGGGCCGAAACAATTAAATTCAGTCACTGCGCGGTCATCACCAAACAGAACGGAAAGCTGTGCCTGGTGATCCAGGTGGCCAACATGAGGAAGAGCCTCCTGATTCAGTGCCAGCTCTCGGGCAAGCTCCTCCAGACGCACGTCACCAAGGAGGGGGAGCGCATCCTCCTTAACCAGGCCACGGTGAAGTTCCACGTGGACTCCTCCTCCGAGAGCCCCTTCCTCATTTTGCCCATGACGTTCTACCACGTGCTGGATGAAACGAGTCCCCTACGGGACCTCACGCCCCAGAACCTAAAGGAGAAAGAATTTGAGCTCGTGGTGCTCCTCAATGCCACTGTGGAATCCACAAGCGCTGTCTGCCAGAGCCGCACATCCTACATCCCGGAGGAGATCTACTGGGGCTTTGAGTTTGTGCCTGTGGTTTCTCTCTCCAAAAATGGCAAGTATGTAGCGGATTTCAGCCAGTTCGAGCAGATCCGAAAGAGTCCAGATTGCACCTTTTACTGCGCAGATTCTGAGAAGCAGAAATTGGAGGAGAAGTATAGGCAGGAGGATCAACGGGAGCGGGAGCTGAGGAACCTTTTGCTACAACAGAGCAACGTGTGATGCCAGGGTGTCTCCTGGCTGCATCTCCCCAGCTGGTTCTACTCAGGCAATCCTTTCAGACCAGCGGAAGCTGCGCAAATGAAAACAAGGGCCTATGTTCATGCTCCACGGAGCCTCACTGGCGTACCCCATGGAGCCCCTCTTGGGACCTGGTGGCTGAACAAGCATTTCCATATTTGAGAGAGTTTCTGCAGAATGCTTCCTCCAAAGTGAGCCTTCAAAACTTCACATTTCCTAAAATGGAGCTGCATTTTGAAGAATGGGATGGAGGGCAAAGTGTCCTGTTGGATGATGGGTAGATGGATAGATGGATGGATGGATGGATGGATGGATGGATGGATGGACATTTAGCATTGCCTTACTGAAGGGAAATGCATTTCCATGCAAGAATATTAGTTATATTGTAAAGTATTTATTTAATCAAAGCATCAAAGACATTATGGTTAATGGTTGAAATGTGATTGAGTATTCAGTTATATTGTTGCCTTAAAACCTACTCTTTTTACCTAAGCGGGACTCCTACTCACAAAATATAGTAATTCTATCTTTTTACCTTTCTTCAATAGACTGAATTGTATAGAATGACACTGCTCAGATGAGGAATTAATAGTTGTGAGAAAATGTTCATAACCTGATGCTGATGTTCCCATTAATTTCTGTTATTGTTGTTGAGCTGTACTAATCCTTTTCTATGAAAAATTGGGTGCAAAGATCAGTTACCCTGCACCGTGTAGGCGTTTAGTAATAACATAGAGGACCAAGTACCAGGCAGATTTATAGAACCAGCACTTATATTTTAACAAGATTCCAACCACTGCATTTCTTACCTTAATATCCTGTCCACAAAGGGATGGCATTGAACTGCCCATTGACATTCTAAAAGCCACCCAGAGCTCTTGAAAGCAGTGGCCTTTTCCAGCATGCTAAGCACAAGCTCAAAGGTTCGATGGTTCATTACCACCATGGAGAGGTAAGCAGCCTACTGACAAAGGGAATCTGCCCAAGTGCTGTACTTCATGAGGCTGGGTGATGCCACCGGAAGGAGAAGGGCTGATAGTAAAGAATTCATAACCAAGATGGTCCCTTGAAGGGATAATCTCACAGCACATACAGAATGCTCTCAGCATTTAAATAATATTTCACATGACTCATGTTAGAACTAACATTTTGCCTTTCTCAAAATTTACTCTAGTGAGCCAACTTTCTTGGGGAAGAGAATAAATGGGCTAGGATTAGCTAGATGTCTATAGGCAAATACTTATTTCATTTCAGCCAAGCCAGATTGGTGCATCCACTGAAGCAGAACGAGAGCATAATCATTCAGGCAGCATGTGCACATAGACCTGAGTGCTGAGTGGCTACCTCATTTATATACACGGGTATGCCCTGGGTTCTCAAGCATAATCATGGGAAGTATCCATGAAAGCCTTTTGCAATGAAGAAAGATGTTCACAATGATGCGTGTGTACATTTGATAGTACACAAATATGAACACTAGGACTCAGAGAAAAGGGAAATAAGCTGGATTCAGAGTGTTGGGGAAGTGATGCCCTGGAACTACAGCACATGTGGTTGTATTTGATGCCACCACATTCGCAAGTGCTTCCCTTAAACAGAAAGTATAGAAATAAAACAATGGCCTGGAGCTAAACTATTCTAATGCACATATAAGAATAATGGAGGCAAAATCTATAAAAGCTTACAAAAACTATCTCAGTCTATGCATGAGAAAGAGAATTTTTGTCTTTACTCAATTTTTTTGTTAACTTTATGTCAGGTTTCTTGAAATCTCCTTTGTTTAAAAACATTACATGTTAATGTAATTAGATATCAGCCCTTTTATTATACTTTTTAAATTTTATTTTACATTGTGGTATATAATTCACAGGAAAATAATGCCGCAAGCATGTTTACAGCTTTTCTGTTGCACTATTAATTTTTCACAGTATTTGCATCAATGCTAATTTGAATGTAATCAAGATTAGGAATCTTGCTCACTTACAGTGTATATGGTACAAAATTTAGTGTAAGATTCAGAAATCTTGTTTTGCATACATCTTGCATATCATTTTTAGCCAGATGTGGAAGACCTGGCCATCTGATCTTTTATGCCATGCAGTGCCTTGAAAAGCAATAATAATGCCAACATCAGAATTATGACATAATTGAATATTATGAATCGAATATTGACTAGAAGCAGCTCTAAAGTGGTATCCAGTCTAAAACTTAGCACTTTCCAGATACATTTATTACTGTCATTACTTTGTACTAAATGTTGTCATGTCACTAGGCTAACAAGGAATTTAGGTCGCAGAAAACTTATTTGGTGGTATGTCAATAATCTTCTAATTAAAATACAGTCATGCTACATATCCAAGGAGTAAAAGGCTTTAGTGTTGTATATTTCTGATACATTTGGTCTTTTTTGGTGAGACTGCTCAACATGCTGTGCTCCATTCGGGAAAACAGAAAAGTCAGAGGAGCTAGTCAATGTGATGTAGGAATCATGACTCATTTCAGTAAAATGCATACAATTAATATTAATATGGCCCCTTGTAGGCAATAACTCCATATAGCAAAGCAAGGATGCTCTCATTCACCTTCACAACCAGCTGCCTGTGGGGGGCGGTGGGGGACACACTGTGTTGGTCAGTTCACCCCTTGTTGGAACCCATACCCAGCACTTACAGCTCAAAGGAAAAAGTGGTTTAGTTTGGCTCATGGCCTCAGGCTTTACTCCAAGATCAGTTGGCTCAAACTCAGCAACATCGTGGCAGAAGGTGTGGGGAGCAAAGCTGCAGCTCCTGGGAAGCACAGCAAGGAAACAGTGTCGGAGAGAAGGCAGGAAGAAGGTCTAGTGCCCAAAGCCAGGCCTCCATCACCCACTCGACATGTCTAGAGTGTGCTGCACCTATCTCTTAAGCAGCAGTCAAGTCAATCCAGTGAACAGTCCAGTTTAATGATCACACACTCCTTGCTTCCCCTTTCCACTGATGGAGAAATTATAATACGGTGTAGATTATCTAGAACTCTTCAATAACTGATTAGTGGTGAAAAGCACCATTAATCAGCCGGCCAAATATTTAGACACATTTTAACAACTATTTTGTTCAATTTTTATTGGAAATTTTAATTTCAATAGTAATAGTACTGAAATGTTAATTGAGACATATTTTTAAAATGGCAGTTTTACTTCAAGATGATAAACATGAGACTTCAGGGCCAGTCAAATAGCTCAGCAGATTAGAGTGCCTGCAAGCAGTGGCAGGGACCAGGGGTTCAATCCCCAGGCCTGCGGTGCTGGCCCCCTCCTCCGGGTCATGCTGAAAGAGCAATTGGGACTGGACGTGGTGACGAGTACCTGTAATCCCAGCTCTTGGGAGCCTGTAAACAGGCGGATCACTACGAGTCCTATCTAGTAGTGAGACCCTGAACACCCTGTAGACCCTTCCCTAAAATACAAAGGATAAATAAATAAATAAAATAAATAGGGGACTTCTGCTCTAGGATGGGCTTCCTTGCTCAGATTGCCAGGATGTAACATCCTGTGTAGTGTGGGGGGAGCAGGACACCAAAGCAAAGCAAAGCAAAAGGAAAACAAAGAAAAGAAAAAATGAAAAGAGAAAGCACAAAGCCTTCACACTGGACTCTCAATAAAAGATCATCTGGGTCTTGGATCTGTACATTGTTACAGCCAAAGGGTCATAAATTTGACCTCATGGTGTGACAAAGATGCTGTCCATCACAGCTTTCATTCTCACCCAGTTTCTCTTGTTACAGCTTTTAAAAATTAGTTTTTAATGATAGTAGTTTTTCCTAGCTTTCCATAATGCAATTTTTAATAAATGAAAAGTAGTATTATTTTAAGTCTTGACTTGATGTTATGGGGTATGCACTCGTAATCCAATATTAGATTAGTTGACTCTGGATGTATGTGGGGTGCAGTTTCCTCCTCAGGGAAGTCTCACATGTGCAGGTCGCATGAGTGTTTCACTCCTAGGTGATCAGCTGCTCGTGTCTCCCCATCGTGAGCTGCATTCCATCTCTCTCAGAGGCGACTCACCAGCCAAGTCTGCACAGCTACAGTTTGCAATGAAATGCTATTTCTAAAACTTAAGTAGAATTTTAAAGGATAAAGGAGTTACTTGCCTTTGTGAGGCATGATATTTCTCTGTGACTTTGTTTTTCCTATTGTATTATTTACTGCTTTACAGGACTCTGAGACAAAGTCTTTATCTCCAGAGTAAGGAAGGCAGTAAGAGAAGTGTAAGAAACACAAGGTAATCACGGATCACCTAGATTTTCATGTGAAAGGATTTTTCCCAGAGGAAAAGAACTTTGTAAGGAAAACTTGGTTACTCGATCTTATAGTACAGCAAACTGTCATTATATTCTGGCAACCCAGGAGAACCAATTTTCCTAGTCATTTAAGAAACATTGGTGGGTTAGGTCCAACTATTTTCCCCAAAGATTTTCCACTAAACACTTCATGGAAAAAGAAGTGTGAGGCAAAATCTGAGCTCTAGCCATTCCCTCCATCCCAGCCTGCCTGGTTCCCTGGTGAACTACCCTTCCTTCCACTTAACCTATGATTCCTTAATTGTTCCTTTTGATTTTGCTATCTATTCTGCCAAACCAAGTCATCTGGTCAGTTTAAACATAACCAATCTGAATTAAAAGCTGTAAATACTTAGATATCAAAAATTACAAGAATTTTCATTTTTTTTAGTTGGTATTCCCAGTGTGTGTTGCAACTGGAGAAAGAAAGAAAGAAAGAAAGAAAGAAAGAAAGAAAGAAAGAAAGAAAGAAAGAAAGAAAGAAGTTGAGCAAAGGTGATAGTTAATTCATAGCAAAATTATAAGAACAGGTTGTGAAAGTCAGAGGACATATACGACACTTAAGAAGGGAAGCCAATGATGTCATCCTATGTAGCAGGAGGCCTTATTGTACCCATGACTGTCAGCCAGTGTTATGGTTTGTGTCTAGGTGTCCGCCCAAAGCCTCATGCAGTCTTGGGGTAGCTTCTGGAGTTTGTGATTGAGTACTGTGGATGTGGATGCTGCACCTGCCCTGGGGCAGGTAATCTGCATCACAATGTAAGGTGGGAAGAGAAGCGGCTGCTTGAGCTGCTGCTACCCCTCCCTTGTGCTCTTGCTCTTTGCCCATGAAAGGTTGCCCTCTGCCGTGTGGCCTTCTGCCATGTGGTGCTCTGCCTTGGAGCCAGCTGGGTATAGACTGAAACCTCCAGTAACTGTGAGCTAAATAAACCTTTCCTTCCTTCATTTTGAGTGTCAGGTATTTGTCCCAGCAATGAGAGAAGAGTAACTAAGACACCCAGGCAGTGAGGGATGCCAGGCATCCTGCTTGTAGGACATGCCCTCTGTTTGGTGGCCTTTGTCTTATGTCCTGTGTAGACTGGATCTGAATGTCCTGCAGTTGACAACTTTCAATGCATTATAAATCTGCCTAGATAATTAGAAAAGTCTTCAAATTCAATCAGAAATCTTATGTATTTATTTACCCAAAATGACAAACTGGGGGAGACCAATCATATAATCCCAAACTATGCTCTTCTGCAGAGGAGAAAAGCACACCCCCTGACCTGGAAGTTATGACAGTCCTGCAGCTACTAGCAGAGGAAGGGTCTACCGAAACAAAGCAAAACACCCCACATTTCCTGGATTTGTTCACTTGGCAGAAGTAAACACCAGCCTGACGTGGGACTGACTGGTCACTCCTCCTCACGGACAGACCTGAATGCTCTTTGATCTTGCCTGACAGGGCAGGTCTTCTCGGGACCCCCTCCACCCTGGGTTCACAGTGTGCAGGAGCTCAGCCTCCTGAGCCCCAGCTTTGCAATGAGACTGAGGGTTTTATTTTCCTCATCAGCGTTAGAGGGACAAAAATCAAGGAATATGAAGTCTAGAAGGCCACCTCACATTGTCTTTGTTTAGCACCTCACGCCTCATGACATAACATGTAGCTATGATTCTATGTTGATTTAAGAGCAAATCTTAACTAGCAGTTGTGGCTTCCCACCATCTTAGGTTATCTAATATCACTCTTCAGAAACATTCAAGATGCTAAAAGAGAGGATCTCCTCAAAATTAGGGTCTGTGACAACTCCTGCCCTTGGTGATAAAAAAGAAAAACTATTCCCCCAACAAATCAAAGAAAAATCATCTGTTAACTCTGAGCTAAGAAGTGTGGGGCTGCTTAGTTTATTTTTCCTAATATTGCTATCATTACAAATGTACTTAATATTATGAAAAACAGCTTCCAAGAAAGTGATGAGAGGAAAGTTCAAAGAAAAAGCTTTTCTCCTTCCTTGTTGGGTAACTCTCCTTTCGTCTGCAATCACATCTTAGGAGTGAGGATGTTGTATTAAACCAAATTGTTACAGGAAGTATGACTGTGTTGGGGGCTTTTTACAAAAACAAGGCTGCAAGTCACAAAAGGAAGCTGAGCTTGTGTGCTGACACGCGTATCAAATGGCAGGCAGGAGGAAAGGCCGGAGAGCCGCCAGCTCGGCTCTATTTTTGAGGAATTATTTCTGTAGGGTGTCATGGAATTGTAAGCTACAAAAAGAAAGCTTTGGAAAACAGAATCTCTATTCCAAAAAGGTCTTCTCCAAGATATTATTTAATGAAATTCACAAGAATGTAATGGAAAAGGAAACCCCAAATGACACGCAACTTTTATAGACAAGTGACCTCCTGGTAGTGTGTGCCTTCCAAAATCTTGGTCAGGATTCAAGGTCTCTTTCTGTGTACAGCTACAACCGACTTCTACACCATTCCCCCAAGACCAATTTCTCTGCTTTCCTTTGATTTTTAACTAGCCTTGGGATTGGACTTGCCTTAGCACAATGCCGATCTGTGTTTCTCAGGGGGATCTGCTATTGGGCACACATTGGAAATTCCACACCACCAAGTAGTGATAGGTTATGTGTACACCTGTCCGCACTGAGCTCAACCACACCATGACCCACCGCTTTAAATGTGTACTTTAATATTCTAAGAGTTCACACCTCTATTTGTCAAAACACTTCATATGTTTCTGTGCTTCTCCATTGTTTTTCTTTTTTGGTATACGGAATCCTGTAATCTGTGAAACAAAAGCAAACTCAATAAAGCTAATTTCTTGGTACTGAGTTTTCATTTCACTGGAATTGTAGCAGAGTGTGCCTGAGTCAGTTTTCCTACTGCTGGGACAAAAGTGCCCAACATCCCAATATTAAAGGGTTTATTTTAGTTTCCAGTTTGAGGGTTACCTGCTAGCTCCAGTGCAGAAAATCATAGCAGCAGGGCTTGGAGGAGAAAAGCTGCTCAACTCATGGTGTCTGAGAGACAGAGCAGGGGCAGAGGCTCAGCAGAAGGAACCACAGCCAGGCACAGTTGCCAAGGTCATGCCCCTGCGACCCACTTCCTGTCACTAGTCCCCACCTCTGAATAGCTTATTTGGCTATGAACTCATGAATGGATTAGCCTGTCAGACAGGTTAATTTATCACCTAGTCATGTCTCCAGGGCTCTCTTAACCCAATCAGGCTGACAATTACCATAACTCAGCATAATCTAATGACACTCCTATGAAGAGAGATCGAATACATTCCCAGACATCTCAGGGATAAACACTTTTGAAACAATCATCTCTACTGAGGTCCCTGTCATATGCCAGTGTCGAAAGGAATGCGCCCACTTCTTTTTCAATCACAGAACAGAAAATGAAGTCTCTATCTCATCTCTTTTTTTCTTAATGCTCTCAGGTTCCAGAATAATGGCTTCATTTTATTCCATGCTTAAAGATCAAATCACAAGGATACAACATCTTCTTGGTGTGGAATCTTTTCCCCAAAGCCTGTAATTTCCACAGCTCTTTTACCTTGATAGATAAAAAGAAAAGGAGTACTTACTGGCATAAGTCATAGAAGTATAGCTATGAGGGTGGTGACAAATGAGCAGATCTATTTAAAAGCCACCCAGCAGAGATATGCATCCCAGACAGCTGGGATCCCCACGCAGTTTCCTGGGAAAACCACACGCACACACACACACCACCACCACCACCACCAACAACAACAACAACAGCAACAACAGCAATACCAAGGTGGTTGCACAGCTCCAAACATTCCGCAAGTGCTCTTTTTGGAATTATCTCTTTCAGAGGCTTGGCTAGTTGAGCATCATACTCTGACTTAGCAAGGCTCTGTCCTTTGAGTGAATTTACAGCTGTTGGAAATGAACAGGGCTGGTGCAGATAGTAGGAGATCACATGTGAAGATATTGTTTAGGCAAACAAAAGCAAACAAAAATTAAAAGGATAAATATTTTCTGAGACATGCACAGCACTCTGGAATACCGCAGTGCTAATCTGTGAGACACATTTTTTTAATTTTCACTCCCACAGAACTTCTCAGGCATAAATTATTTTTCATTCCATTATCTCAAGCATCATTTGCCGTGGGGGTGGTGATCTTGGCTGGAACCTCAGCAGTCCATGTCCAAAATAACACAACACTGCCCTCAACACTCCAGAGCCTGGACGCAAGAATGAGGTAATTTCTTTTCTTTCTTTCTTTTTTTCTTTTTTTTTTTAATTTACATATTTGGCACAGGGTTTCACTACGCAGCTTAGACTCATAGTGATCCTCCTGTTTTAATCCTCCCCAGAGCTGGGATTACAGCCTGGTCTCAGTTGCCAGGCTCAGCATGCCCCCAGGGCGGGGCTAGCACAGATTGCGGGTCCAGGAATCAAACCCTTGGTCCTTGTGCTTGCCAAAGCAGGTGCTTAGTCTGCTGAGCTATCTCACCAGGCCTAGGAATGAGGTAATATCTAAGAGGAGTTTGGGAACCAATACACCGTTGATTCTGGGGTAGGCGTGCATATTACGGTTTCTAGGTGTTCCTCTAAAGCTTCAGGCCATCGTAAGTGGAGCCTTTGGAAGGTGCTTGCATTCCAGCTGACTTGCTGGAACAGTCACTGTGGGCATGGCGTGGAAGGTTGTGTCTCCTTTCCCAGCTCCTGCCTTCACTCTCTCTATTTCCTTCCCTTGTGCCGTAAGCAACTATCGCCCAGAAGGCCCCTCTTCCAGGCCATCCGGCCGTGGAGCCAGCTGGCATTGGCCTGAAGCCACCACACACTGCAAACCTCCCCTCCTTTAAGCTGAGAGTAGCAAGGACTGTGTCCTAGCACCAAGAAAGGGGGCATGGCATCTGGGAAACCACAACACTCCCCAGAAATCCATGATTTGTGGCACCTGCCTGCAAACGCCATAGACGGACCAGTTTAGTGGTTTGATTTTTTGTAGAAAAGTCCATATTCTTCCCAGAAATGCTTATCCTGCACAAAGAATTCATTTGTGAATTAGTCTGTTCCTTCCTTGAACTTAGTACTGTGTCATATTTCTTAGAATGTGGCACCTGAACAACCAAGTGCATTTCTACCAGCTCCTTCTTTCCTTGTCTGCTGCTATTGAGTCATTCAGGAGCTCTGGCTACTTTTAAAAGATTTTACTCATGTTTATTTACTTTTATTTATTTTCTAGTTAAGTTTTTATTTTTAATTGGCAGCTAATAAAGGTATACATGTATGGAGTACAATGGATGTTTCGCATATGTTTCCTATAATGATTCTGATAAGCTAGTTAATCTAGACACAACTTCACCCACTTGTTTTTTTGGTAAGGAGAACATTTAAATTCTACTCTTAGAAATCTGACTTGCTCCAGACTGTATATTCTCTTTCCATTTAACATGCCCAGCATTA